TAGTTTTGGGAGAGTTATCCTATTGACAGGCAGGCAGAAACTCTTAGATCATTTCAGACCTGCTCATTCCTCCTTTTATCTTACTAATTATGGAAATAACAACAATAATAATAATAATAATAATAATCATTAGCATTGACATTGACAAATTTGCCATTAGTCAATTGCAAAAGGCGGCCTTACTAATAACTGCTTCCATCCTGCAACAATATCTGTAATACCATCAAACATCCACATCTGCCAATCCCAGGTCCTTGGTAAGGACTTGATAGTCTGAACATCCAGTCTGAACATCTGGCTGACTGTGCGATGATTAATAATAATAATAATAATAATAATAATAATAATAATAATAATAATAATAATAATAATAAAGTTATTTATTGGAGGCAGGTTGTTCCATTGGTTAATTGTTCTAACTGTCAGGAAGTTTCTCCTTAGTTTCTCCAACTTTATTATTATTATTATTATGGATCATCGCACAGTCAGCCAGATGTTCAGATTGGATTTGGCATTTTTCTACCTATTGAGTCCTTACCCAGGACCTGGGATAGGCAGATGTGGATGTTTGATGGTATTACAGATATCGTTGCAGGATGGAAGTAGTTCCTAGTAAGGCACCTTTTGCAATTGACTAATAGCGAATTTGTCAATGCCAATGGTGTTCAAGTGGTGCTCCAGTTGTTTTGGGATTGCATCCAAGGAGCCTATTATTATTGGTACTACCCTTGCTTGCTTTTGCCACAGTCTTTCTATTTCTATTTGTAGGTCTTTGTATTTTGTTATCTTCTCCAGTTCTTTCTCGTCTATTCTGCTGTCTCCAGGCACTGCCACATCCACTATCCAGACTTTTTGTCTTTCTTATCGACAATTGTTAAGTCTGGGGTGTTATGTTGCAGGTGTTTGTCTGTTTGAATTCTGAAGTCCCAGAGCAGTTTAATTTTATCATTTTCTATGACTTTCTCTATTTTATGATCCCACCAGTTTTTGCTTACAGGCAAATGATATTTTTTGCAGATCTTCCAATGCACCATTGTTGCTACTTTGTCGTGCCGCTGCTTGTAATCAGTCTGTGCAATCTTCTTGCAACAGCTTACCAAGTGGTCCACTGTTTCTTCAGCTTCTTTGCATAGGCGGCACTTACTGTCTGTTGCTGTCTTCTCAATTTTGAATTTATATGCATTTGTCCTTAAGTCTTGGTCTTGTGCAGCCAGAATTAGTCCCTCGGTCTCTTTCTTCAATTTTCCTGCTCTTAGCCATTGCCAGGTTTTATTATTATCTGCTTTCCCAGCTATTTTTTTCATGTATTGGCCATGTAGTGCTTTGTCTTCCCATGCCTCTAGTCTGTTCTTCATTTGGTCTTTCCTGTAGGCCAGTTTGGTCTCTCCAGTAGTTAGTAAGCCTTCCTGATATACTAATTTCAGTGCATCTTCATCATTGTTCTTCAGATATTCTTCCAAAGCCATTTTTTTCTTCTTCAACCATCTGATGTACTTGTAGCATTCCACGCCCACCTATTTGCCTTGGTAGATAAAGTCTATCAATGTCACTGCGTGGATGAAGGGCATGATTCATTGTCATTATTTTTCTGGTCTGCCTATCCATTGCTTTTAGTTCTGCTTGAGTCCAGTCCACTATTCCAGCTGTGTACCTAATGACTGGAATTGCCCAGGTGTTGATTGCTTTTATGGTATTTCCTCCATTGAGTTTGGACTTTAAGATCCTCTCTTGATGTATTCACTGCTAATCTTTTCCTTGACTTCAGTGTGCTTGATGTTGTCAGCTTGAAGGATATCCAAGTATTTGTAGTAATCTTCCTCATTCAGACTCTTAATGTTATTTTCATGGGGCATCTTGATTCCTTCAGTTTTCTCTATTTTTCCTTGTTTGATAGTAAGTGTGGCACATTTGTCCAAGCCAAATTATTATTATTATTGTTGTTGTTGTTGTCGTTGTCGTTGTCGTTGTTGTTATTATTATTATTATTATTATTATTTTGAGCATACTGGCAGAGAAATTCTTCCCATTGTTAGCCAAAGGCTTTGGATGCAAATTTGGAAGGGGGCAGAGTCAAATTACAAAATACTTTGTAGGTTCATAGCACCCCTAGTGGTTCCCAAAGTCTGTGGAATGGGGCAATGAATTCACTAATCATTCCAGTAAATAGTCCCCAACTCAAGGTCCACAGACTTCTGCTGGGCCACAGCCCATTCAGAACTGGGCTACAAAAGTGGTAGGTGAGCATGCATGTGTGTGCACAGCAGCATTTGTGAAAGCAGCAGAAGCATGCGTGAAACCATCCTCTTTCTCCACCCCATTACTACCACCATCTCCGCCAGTGTGCCAAGCCAGAAAGTTTAGGAAACTCTACTGTAGGATATCTCATGGCATCCCATATTTGACCTTCAGCAAGCAAGATAGGAGAGATAATGCACATGTTGAATTTTTGAAGGTTCCACTGTTTTGATGTGGATTGGCAACTCAATTCATGTGAGGGGAATGCTTGCATTTGACCTGCATGACAAACCTTTCAAAATTATATGTACTTTATATTGTTTTCGATTGGGGAGGAGGGGCAATCAATATCAAAGGTCAGTAATACAGCCTGACCAGTGGTGGGATTCAAATACCTGAACAACCAATTCACTGCATGAACACTGCTTCTGGAAGTCCATTCTGGGCCTGGGCCTCCAAGGCTTAGAACAGACTTCCAGAAGTGGCATCCATGCACTTCCGGTGGTACATTCTTGGCCTTGCGAAAAAAGGCTAGGGCAGTGATGGTGAACCTTTTAGAGAGCGAGTGCCCAAACTGCAACCCAAAACCTACTTATGCATTGTTGGGTGCTGGGTGGATGTGGCCCATTGGGTGGGTGTGGCCCATTGGGTGGGCATGGCTGCAGTGGTAACAGCAGACTGGGTGGACTAAAAAGTTCAATCAATCAATTCCAACTTTGCAAGATCTTTTTTTTCCCCGCGAGAAGTTGAAATTGACTGATTGATTGAACCTCTTTTTTTGTACACGGCAGCGGAGGCCTAAAGCGAAAAGGTTTTATAAAACCCAGCTGAAGGCCTAGGACTGGGGCAATGGTGCATGTGCCCACAGAGAGGGCTCTGAGTGCCGCCTCTGGCACCCGTGCCATAGGTTCGCCACCACTGGGCTAGGGCTTCAGCCGGTTCACTGAAGTCAACAAAAAATTAGCTACCGGTTCTGCCGAACCAGTGCGAACCGGCTGAATCCCAACCCTGAGCCTGACTCTTTTGCACAGAGTCTGAAAATGCTGCAACATTAATTTTGAGAAATTCTCCCCAGGCAACCTCTTAGTTAAGTTCTCCCCCCCCCCTATCTCTGTCCCCCTGTAAACCTAGATTTTGATCATCTAATTTCACCACTGGGGCTGCCTCACTAATCTTCCCTTATTTACATAGGCCAAGAAACATTTTGCTTCAATGCCTCTTCATAAATCTAAAGAAGGGATCTTGTGATAGAAAACCCTGGTATCTTTTAGGAAAGAAGAACTACATATAAAAAAACTTGGATTTGTCTCATCAGGAGGCAGAAAGTTATGGTTGTAGAGGTAGCACAAAAGAATGATCATTATGAAAAAGCAGTAACCTTGGTTGGGCAAGGGACAACTTGTGCTACAATGTGATGGCCCTGAGATATCTACACAAGGCAACTTGTTAGCAGAAAGCACAGTACAACCTATGTATGTATGTATTATTTATTTATTTAGAAAATTTATATGCCCCCCAACTCACTTATGATGACTCTGGGAGGCTTACAGAAATAAAACCCCATATACAAAACCCAATAAATTCCCACCCCCTAAAAATTAGACAAGACCATCTCTAAGTATGGAAATATGTACCTATGCATACAGTGTGTTAGCAGCAAGGAGTTATTGCTAGCTACTGGTAGTATGGTGGCGCAGTGGTTAGAATGTAGCATTGCAGACTAATTCTGCCCACTGCCAGGAGTTCAAGCCTGATCTGTTCAAGGTTGACTCAGCCTTCTATCTTTCCAAAGTCAGTAAAATGAGGACCCAGATTGTTGGGGGCTATATGCTGACTCTGTAAACTGCTTAGAGAGGGCTGTAAAGCACTATGTAAATAAGTAAGTGCTATTGCTATTGATTCAATTTGGTTAATAAAATGTACTGACTTATATCACAACGGTGTTTTTCAAACTTGGCAAATTTAAGACTTGTGGGCTTCAGCTCCCAGAATTCCCTAGTCAGTACCCTAGCTAGGGAATTCTGGGAGTTTCATTTCACACATTTTAAGTTGCCATGTTTGGGGGGGGAACACTATTTTACAGTCTCCATGGTTCACTCTTATACTTGGAAGACAACATATTTTTGTATCTTCTACAGGGACATGTGCAAAAAAAGGAAGCATACTTATAGATTTTGGTTGAAGAGAGTAGTCCATATTATGTATTCTCTAAATACCTTCTGTATGTGGAGAATTAATTTACAGACATATCATAAATGGCATATCTAGTATGCTACTCCATACTGAATGATAGAACTAAGAGTACAGAAAAGAGAGAGAAAATTCCTAGGACAAGTTCAGCTTGTCATGAAATTAGTGTCCAAGGGGCTATTCTATTTTCTTGCAAGGGAGTTATCCCTAGCTCTGGCCTCAGCTTGGAAAACAGAATTTGGTTTTATTAAAAACAAAATTAAAAGAAATCCTCACTTTTCATTTTAAATAAACTGATTATGGCAGCCAACCTTTGCACACAGGTGGCCACAGACAGCGTCTAAGTAATTGGCTTGTCTTTCCATGTTTCCTGCTAATTCTCTAACATTCAAAAGAGCAAGTAGCCTAACTCCTTAGAGGCAAGACTTGTGAATTATTTAAAATTTGTGTTCTTAGGTTAAAACTTTCTCAAAAAACTCCAATGTAGTTTGATGAAAATACCATCCAATATTCCCCTGCAGCCATTTCCATTTTCAGTATTTTGTTAACTATATAGTTCAAAACTTTTCACATACCTGGTAGTATAAGCAGCTGTTCTTGTAACTGAGAGCATGCCTTGTAATACTTCAGTTCCATCTGCTAACTCGATTACCCCCTGTAACTAGAAAAAATTCATCATTGATGTCTCAAGTTGGCCAAATGTTTGCAGCCTTGTGGAAAAAGAAGACAAAAAAAGAGAGAGAAATCTAGTAAAGCATTAATCTTGCTCCACTTTCCTCTCATTTAGACAAGTCTTACTAGTCCCAAGGCCAAAATTCAATTGTTTCCTTCTTTTATCAATTGAATCAACCTAAAATGGACTTTCTTCCACATTGGCTTAATCAGACTCAGCCTCCATAGTCTTCAGAGTACTGCTGGATTCTCTGCTCTGCTGCAATCATGATCTGGTAACAGAGAGAAGACAAGACTGCAGAGTTTCCAAATAAATGGGTTCCTTTGTTGGTATAAAAACAAAAGTTGAGCAGGATTGCGCTAGTATATACTTAGGTGGGGGAACCACAATGCAGTCCCAGAGATTGTTAAAAAAAACAAAAACACAACAACTTGGAAGACCAAAATGACAAACCGCTTCTGCACTACTGCTGCCAAAAACCCAACATGAACTTCTTGGAGTTGAGTTTAATTCAGGAGACATTTTATCTTACCCATTTTATTGGGTAAGAAAAGGAGTCAATTTATTGTTTCTGCACTGAAGACAAATTCAGTATGGGAGCGTGGTGACTGGAGTACAGGTTTTCATCTTCTAGATTATTTCAGGACAACAATGTAAGTGCCAGCTGTGTTTCAAAACATTATTGGGGTCTAGGCATTAATTCACAGATCCGAGATCTCAAAAATATGACTTCCCTCTGCCATTTTATGCTGATCATTCTTTGTTGTGCTATTGGGGGGGGATCGTCCTCATTCTGTGTTGTAAATGGAATCTACCATTTCTCAGAGGTCTCTATGAGGCCATAGTGCTGAGATTCCTTTTATCTGAAGATATAGTAAGGAAGTGGCTTTCTAAGGAAGTGGCTTTGCAACATGCCCCCTTGTACCAAAAAGGACAGAGGCTTCCTTGTCCCAGTTTTTTGTTTTTTTTTTAAGTCTTTCAATCCCCAACTGTTGCACTGTAAACTTCCTAGACTCTGTTGTTATTTCAAATCCAGGCATATGTTTCCATCACAAATGGACAAGGAACAGCTGGGGAAAAAAAAAACAGGATTATTTTTTCCTTTCTCATTTTCTGACAGCTCAGAAGTCAGAACAGAAGTCAAAATGAGGTCCAATGATTCTTTGTTACTTGAAAGCATTAGGGAGCAAGGAAAAAGAGGGAAAGGACTTTGTGCCAGCTCCCCCTCCTAATATAATAATTATGGGTAATGGCTTCCAGATCTTTTCAATCTGTTTCTTATTGCTTTGCGCTGATCTCTTCTTCCATGTAGTGAACCTGTCAAGGTTTAGGCCCCTCTCAGCTGCACTCTACTCCTCCCTTGGAAACTAATGCAAGAGGATGGTTTCAGCTAAGCTGATCTGAAGCTGTTTAGTTCCCATTACAGCTCTAGCAGTATTCCTAAAAAGATGCGTCTGCCAGAGATGTGTGGACTGGTATCAATCCAAACCACTAAAACAAGCCAACTGGACAATGATAAGATAAGATAAAATAGGACAGGACAGGACAGGACAGGATAGGATAATAAGATAAGGTAAGATAAGGTAACCTTTATTGTCATTTTTTACTATGGCCCACATTAAAAATGAAATTCTGTTGCCTGCTGTCAAAAGAAAGTATATATTTATCCATACACATACATAACGCACATATACATGATATGTATATTAGTCACTGTCCATTTTGAATGCATAGTGGAAAGAGGAAACTTGAGAGTTCACAAGGTTGATGCTATATGGAACAAAACTGTGGTTGAATCTGGATATTCTGCTTCAGATACCATGAAGCCTCCTCCCAAAAGGTAGCAAGGAAAAGATTCAGAGGATTGAGTTGACTCAATGCATCTGTTCAATTCACTTTTGAACAGTTTGCATCGTACAGCCCTAATATCTCATAGTTCAGCCATTCTTTGTTTATTCCCATTATATGAACTTGCCATTTGCTTCTTCACTTACTCACTTGTAAAAGCAATCCCATAGGTTAAACTTCTTGTAGAGCCTTAAAGATTTCTGAAAAATATAGAGGACAGATCCTCTATAAGGAAATAAATACTTCCAACATTTTTGAAATGAAAACAAAAGCATGTTTTCAATATTTCTTCCTAAGCTTCATATGTTGCATCCTAAAGCCACAGATTATTCTTACCCTCCTTCAGTTCCCTTAAAATATCTAGCTCTACTGATTAACAGACCCTATTGGAACTTGTCTCCTTTGGAAGTTTAGAGGTGAGAATGTAGGAAAAGATGGAGAAAATGGAAAATACCAAAAGATTACAAAGGAAAAAGGTTTTCCCACTTGAAAAGTGATTAATAAGGGAGGGTTACCACATATTAGTTTGTACACACTCATTGCAATGTGCCTATTCAAATTATTAAATTATTTAAATTATTAAATAATAATTTAAATTATTAAATTTATATTTAATATATAAATTATATTATATAATTATTATAATTCTTTAAGAAACACATACACATCCCATGGGAGTCTGAAAATGCTCATTTTTTTTTTAGCAGCAACACAATTTCAAAGCGTTTTCATAATATGGGCAGTGGCTGTTTTTTGCCTCACTCCATTGGCATGCCACTGTTAATGCCAGTACTTCGTAAGACTATCCCTGAGGGTGTAAAAATCACCCCTGCCATCCCCTCAAATGTGATATGTTTGAATATTAGTAGCTCGGATTGGTAGCTGGGCTGTTGGTTTGATCTCTGGGCTTGGTAATTAAGTTGCAAACGTTTTGTCTCTGTTTGGGGCGACATGTTCAGTGTGGTTTGAATTGTGTTTGATTTGTTTGGAATGTTGCTTCCGGTATTTTGGTTGAAGTAGCTCTCTCACTCTCAGTGGTTGGTAGGCGGGGTCGATGTCAATGTGTCTGTTCACTGAGAGAAACAGATATCCACGAGAATTCATCCGGAGATCCCTACACACAAACAACACAAATGCCCCAAACAACACAACAACTGCAACAGGAACAGCAATGACCAAACACATGCACACATACAAAAAAGTCATATATATATATATATATATATATATATATATATATATATATATATATATACATACATACACACACACACACACACACACACACACACACACACACACAGAGAGAGAGAGAGAGAGAGAGAGAGAGATACAAAAAAGTCACACACACACACACACACACGCACATATATTTTTGCAGCTATCAAGGACATATATATGTCAACTCCTCTGCTTCCCTTCCCATCCCACCCGCCTATCTCCTCTGAGTTTCAACTTTATAGCCACAACCATTTATTCTGCAATGAACTGGGTTGCTTTAATTGCAAATAAAATGTAGGAGAAATAGGGAGAGAGTTAGGAGTTTAAAAATAGAGATAAAAACATGGTTGTCCTATATGCTGTTGCCAACAGACATAACAAAACTCCCCAGCATGAGAAAAACACAGTGTGCACCGCTGCCCAGTGCTGTTTGTTAGTGTGCATCAGAAGCCAGATGGGTCTGTGTTCCTCTCAGAAGTGTATAACTTACAGATACCCTAAAGAAGGAGTTGAACTCTGAAGAATGACTTGCAACTAATTCAAAGAATGCTCACAAGGCAAAAACAGAATCAAAGTAAGGGTGGGCGGGCAGGATCCTTTTTTTTTTCTTTAACCCAAGATTGTCTCTGATATTTATATAAAAAGGGCAAAGCATATTATGCAGCTGTTTGCATTCACAGTTGCTGAATCCTATTTATTTACTAGTGTTCCCTCTCTGATTCACATACTGTAGATATGAAGGTTCATGTGCTCACTGATTGGTCTTCCAGCCTTTATAACCAAGCATTCTTTCTCTACAGAAGGGAATGAAGCACATAAAAGAGGTTCAGTTAGAAAGTCTCAGATAACCAGAACACATGAGTCTTCACTTTTTCTTTCTTCTAAAATGTTGCCAGGGATTTACAAGTTGGTTTCTCTCTCATTTTCATCTGTACCCCTTCTCTCCCCATTACCACAGCCTTAATCCGAGGTCCATTTAGAGCTCAAGTCCCCACAATTTTGAGGAATCTTCCCTTGTTCTCCTGTCTCCCCACTACTACAGTTCTATCTTGACTACTTGACTTTTCCCCAGCCTAATTATTTCCCTCAAATTCTTCTAAGTTTAAATTGTGCTAAGGAACTGGCTAGGCTAGCTAGACATCTGCTTGATCAAAGAAACATGTTTTATGATGAACTGTAGCCCCAAGCAGGAATTTTCTTTCATGCATTCAGGCTTAATAGCAGTAACTGTGAGAGGGATCTTGGAGTCTTAGTGGATAATCAATTAAATATGAGCCAATAGTGTGCGGCAGCAGCCAAAAAAGCCAATGCAATCCTAAATTGCATTAACAAAGGGATTCAATCAAGATTTTACATGAGATACTAATATCACTCTATAAAGCCTTAGTAAGACCACACCTAGAATACTGCAATCAATTTTGGTCTCCACATTATAAAAAAGATGTTGTGACTCTAGAAAAAGTGCAGAGAAGAGCAACAAGGACGATTAGGGGACTGGACTGGGTGTGGCTAGTTACAGGGACTGGGCGTGGCTAGCCTAGTGAAGAGAAGGACCAGGGGAGACATGATAGCAGTGTTCCAATGTTTGAGAGGCTATCACAGAGAGGAAAGAGTCAACCTATTTTCCAAAGCACCTGCAGGCCAGACAAAGAATAACAGATGGAAACTGATCAAGGAGAAATTCAACCTGGAAATAAGGAGAAATTTCCTGACAGTGAGAACAGTCAACCAATGACACTGCCTTCAGATTTTGTGGATGCTTCATCACTGGAGGTTTTCAAGAAGAGACTGGACTGTCATCTGTGAGAAATGGTGTAGGGATTCCTGCTTGGGCAAGGGGTTGGATTTGGAATAACTCTGTTATACTAAGGTTTCTACTGTAATGCACAGCGACAGTGGGGAAGCCAACTACATGGAGATAAATATGGAAATAAACCCATATCAGACTTTCTACCTCAACAGGGATGATGGGAATGGGAAAAATGCACATATGCCACTTTTCTCCATTCCTTTAATGAATGGGAGAATAATAATACAGACCATATTAATAATATCATTAACATTCTCTTAGTATTTTAAAATGTAGCCACAAGGTCTTAAGCAGGGCAGGAAGATAGATAGATAGATAGATAGATAGATAGATAGATAGATAGATAGATAGATAGATAGATAGATAGATAGATAGATAAATAGGTGTG